GGGATGCGGTTCCTCTGGTAGCAAGGAAGTATACACCACAACACAGAGGGCACATCTGTCGCCTCATTTTTTGGCCTTTCTCATTGCAAGATGCCCAAAGCAAAAGTTCAAGCTTGTATTCACCAAAGCCTAATAACAGTGCCTGCGCATTGCAAATACTCAATAAATGTGTTTGAATCAACAAACTGCAAATTACAGCACACGCTGAGTCAACTGGCACTAGTTCTGCAATGGCAGACGATTAAAACCAACATGAGAACTGACCCTCGTGGCCCAGCTTCGCGTGTGCAGGCAGTCAGAAACACTGGTCTCCAGTCCAGGCTGCTTCCAGCAGAGGCATTGTCCCCACACAATGAAACAGCCATGAATGTTCCTGGCACGGACATAGGATGGCCTGATCACATCCCAGAGAGAGCTGTTGGTTTACCATCAGCACTCAGGGAATGCCTCACACACTGAGACTGCTTCTTGTCCTCCATGTGGACTTAAGGCGGGGGGGGGGGGGGGGGGGGGCTTCTTTAAAGATGGGGGGGTGAACTTCCCACTCAGTTGTACACCTTTTCGCAAGACTCACACACAATCGGAAACAGCTATTTTTTTTTGTAAGGGGGGGGGGGGGGGGGAGCGAGTGTCATCTTTAAAGAGGGTGGCAGTACTTCCAACTGATTGTGCAGCCCTTGTCCAAGAGACAAGAACAATGGGAAACAGCTAGACCCAGTCCCAGGAACTGAAAACCACAGTGCTTACAAGCTCACCGGCTTGGACAGTATCGATCTGGCCCTGTGCAGACCTGCTCTGAGTGAATGCACTATTGTCGAAGATCTGTAAACTGCTCAGTCCCATTTATAAAACCTCACCAGAAGCAATCTTTCCCTCTGGTCTTGATGGTAACAGAAACTAACCTTTTATCTTAATGTGTTTATCTCACCACCTATGGAAGCCTTGTACCTCAATTTCCCTTTTTGCTCTTAGTGACGGGAGCTACCAGCTCAATTTTAAGACCCCCTCTTTAGCCCCTCGAGGGAATGAGAACATGCTGAACACACTCACAGTGGTTCCCTGGTCCTTGCCACCTTTGTTTTTCTTTGCTCCTGATAGCATTATCTTTATTCCTAATCTCATTTAATTTTGTGAGTTCCTTTAAACCTCCACAAGTGTTTGTGAAACACAGAAAGGAACAAATTAAATGTTTTAAAGCTTCAAATAACCAAATACTTGGGGCTGGTTTTCCTGAGAACACATTATCCTGGTCTTCAGAAAGCTGAGAACATAACAATTCTTTCTACCACGAGCACAGCGCTCTTCCCTGCTTGCCAGGGCCACCGCAGAGTAGGCAGGCAGAGGCCTGAAGCCAGAGTCCCAAGATCAGAGCCAAGCCGCCCACATGTCACTTTCTAGGTGACTGAGATCAAGCCATTCAGATCACGAGGCTCAGATTCACCTGTAAATGAGAATAACATTCTCTGGGCCCAAAAGTGGGATTGTAGCCACATGTGAAAAATGGCCAGTCCCTTTATAAACTGCAAGGTACTCAGCCGCTGCCTGAATGTGGATGGAGAAAAAGAATTGGTAAGATTTTTCTTACCAATATTTTCTTTTTCTACCTGTGGGACATAGCAAAGTTTGAGGAGGCATAGGAGAGATCCAAAGTTGAGGCAGTGTCCTCAGAAAGAGGCTTTGAAATGTGCACCAAGGCCAGTCCGGCAGTGATGTCTAGGATAAAGAACTGCATGAAATAACTGATGAAAACCGACTCCAAAAACAAACACCGTGCTGTTGAGGGTGTAGCTCAATTGATACAGTGCTTGTCTGGCATGCATGAAGCCCTGGGTTCCATCCCCAGCACCACATAAACCAGGAGTCATAGTGGGGAGCCCTCTACAGTCTGCAAGCTACTTCCCTCCCCCGTGCTCCTGAGGCAGCATATTCCTAGCTACCCCTGCTCAGGAAGTGTGCCCACACCTAGCACAAGGCCCTCAAATGCTGCTGAATTATTAATGGATTCCTTTCCTTTGCCAGGACAGAAGCAGAAGCCACTAAGAGGTCTAGGGTTTTGTCTGTGTCAGTCCAAAGCAGCACCAGCAGCAGCTGGTGAGCAGGAGGCGCTCTGGCTAATAAGAGCAGCAAGCTGCTAAGAAGGTGGGGCGTCTCCACCTGTGTTTTCATCCCAGCACCATGCAGCCAAATCATACCCTGCATGGTGCCCCAGGCTCTACCGCCACAATCTGCCGTGAAATGAAGGGCTCTGCTAAGGAGGGACACAGCCAGATTCCCACGCTCTGACCAGAAGCTAAGCAGAAATGGTGATGGGAGCAATATCCTCGCAAAAAGAAGAAAATGGCCCAGCTCACCTTGTCAGAGCATGCATGGACAATGTGTAGAAGCAGTCCTGACGAGGTATCAGGAAGGTGTGTGGCCCAAGCCAGTACACCTGAACTGAGCCCTGAACGCGCACAGCTGCTGTTTTGGTCTTCCTAGGGCCTTGCAACAAAACACTGCTTTCTCTGGGCACCTACTCATCCCACTCCAAATGTGCAGCTCTGAAGGAGGCTGCCAATGATCAGAGAGAGAGACAGAGACAGAGACAGAGAGAGACAGAGACAGAGACAGAGAGAGAGAGAGAGAGAGAGAGAGAGAGAGAGAGAGAGAGAGAGACTGAGTCCTATCAACAGAGACAGCACATGACCTAAGATGGGTGTCTGAGAGTCTCACTGTTGAGCTGTACTGACAAGACAGCAGGAGCAGCACAGTGTGTGTCCTCCTCTCGTCTCTGCAATCAACTAGGAAGATGTGATCCCAGCAGGCCTGGCAGAAGGGGCCCACGGCACTTGAACTGGAGTGAGGGGATGTAGGAAAAAGCAGCCGAGAACCAGTCATGTGGTCACATCTCTAATTTCAGAACTAGGAAGGTTGAGGCAAGAGGATCACCATGGGTTTAAGACCAGCCTGGTCTACATAGTAAGTTCCAGGACAGCTGGGACTACAGGAACTACATATTACAGCACATCCATTTGGTGTAGTTACATAGAGATTTCACATGCATACCAAGAGTTAAGTTACAAGGGGAAAAACCACATTATATACTAATATATTAACATAGGTGTGTATGTTCCCCCATCCCTATCATCCAAATTCAATTGAATGAACATCTTTATGATGGTAGTGGGAACAGAACTATTTTAAACTAAAAAACACTATTAGCCAACAGTGAAGGATATCAAAATGGCCCATGGAAACTGCAGTTGTATAAAAGGACCCTGCATCCAGGCTTTTCATTTACCAACAAAAGCACACAACCCACCGTTCTCGTTCAATGCAAGTGTCACCTCCTCCAGAAAGGCTACCTGACTGTTCCATCCTACCAGATCTTTTCTGAGTATGTAAGTTATATTCACTGGCTGTGGATGCCAAACTAGATGTTTCCATTCTATCACGTTAACACTGCCTCCCCCACAGACAATCAAAGCCTTCAAAAGTCACACCAGGCTTTCCCATCAGCATCTAGACCAGACGTGGGATATTCGGTAATATTGAAAACATCTGGGAAACAGATCCTCCACCAGCATGCAACAAATTGACCATACTATTTCTAGTGGCAGCATAAACTGGGACACTCATCTGGACTAATAACCCAGCAGCATAATTAACCAATATAAAATATTTACATCGTGTGATCTCATTCCTCAAAATCTATCCTGGGCATTTCAAGACAAAACATCTTTACATTCAAAGATGTTCATTGTAGCATTATTTAAACAGCCAAAATACCCAACCCAAGGAAGAAATTACTAAGTACTCATATGAAAGCTATCAGGGAGAGCACTCGTCATTTACTATGGCCATTCCTCATCCTGTACAATATGGAAGGTGCCTAAGGCAAAGTGAGTGATCCAAAAGCACAGAGCAGTGGTCAGCCTATGACTGGACAGAGAGCCAGGGGTACCTGGGCTGACAGTAACACCAAGAACGTGAAGAGTCGTTCTGCTAAGGTGGAAGCAGGCTGACATTTTCTTCTCTCTCTAAACCTCCATTACTGTTCCCTAGGTGTTTATTTAAACTTCTACCATGACACGTTTCTTCTTCACCTCCCTATGCGGTACTCACACGGGATCACAGCTGTGCATCCTGGAATCCCTGGAGAATGCCCAGTGGTAACTGTGGGCTCTCCTCTACACTGATGCACTTCAGGCCTAGAAAGGTAACTCATAACCCAGAACCCATGTTCACTCAGACTCAGACTCCGCCCTGCCTGATGCACCAAGGCTGTGTATGTGGACATGGCTCTCAGGAGGGATTCATTAAAACATGCTGAGTACTTGTTTAGATATAATTGAAATTTAATAACTGTGCCAAATTTAGAATTTTTACATGCTAAGACTCAGTGTTGAATAAAGTACAGTCTTAAAACAGATAGAGAGAAACCTGTACAATTTTATTAGAGAACAGTTTGAATATATCTATAAAATAGTCTATAAATGTTCCCGCTTTCGGACTCGTAATTAAACCTCTGTCAGAAACAGTGAGTGTATAAATACGCACAAGGATGCTTGCTGCAGCATAGGTTACAAAGCAAAAAACTAAAAGGTGAAAGACTCAATGCTTTGTAATAAAAGACTAGTTAAATAAACTGAAGAGTGTCTAAGTGACAAAATACACTGACACCAAAACAATGTGTCCAAAGGACATTAATGGCCCAGCAGCATAGCAAGAGTAAGCAACTGGTATGAAAGATGCAAGACACCAACTATTTTCAACTCGATACCAACCAGGGAAAGAGAGGGAGAGGACACGGGAAAGAGAGGGGAGAACACAGAGGCCAGGAGTATCAAATAGTAAGGCCAAGGCATTTCCAGCGAGAAATGGGCCCAACATCTTTAGACTTTTTGGTATTTTTTAAGTTTTCTGCACAGAGTGCCCATCTCCCTCTGAACAGTAACACCCATCACAGGATCCAGCCCCAAAGCCGCACCCACCACATCAGAAGAAGGGGCAGCACTCACATGGATGGTGCGGGCCCCTCTGCTGCCCTCTTGGCGGGCTTCCTCCAGGTCCCTCTCCAATCTCAGCTTCTCCTGTTGCAGGTCATTCTTCTCCTGGGTGACCTTCTTGATGCTCCGGAGCAGCCTTTGGTTCTCGGTGCTCTTAGTGAGGTTTTCCGAGTGTAGCTCAACCAAAAGGGCTTCCTTTTCCATCAGGGCAGCCTCCTGGTCCTCAGACCCCTAAGGAGAGCACAGGTGAAAGGAGCTGGTTTTCACACAGTGTAAACGAGCCAAGAGGATCTACCCCAGCTTTTACCTTGCAAGGAGGGAAGAAGAAAAAAGACACACATAGACAACATCTGGTATCCAAAGCACAAGTTCTCGGATCTCAGAAAGCAGGGTAATGCTTACATTCCAATGCTGCTGCAAAGGGAGGAAAGCCCACAGCTGCGTAAAACTTTTTTTGTTTGATGGGTTTGGGGTTTTTTATGGGGGGGGGGGAGTATTTGTGATGGGGTGTCTTACTATTTACTCCTGGCTGGTCTGGAGCTCGCTATATAACCTGGCTGGCCTCAGAGAGATCCACCTGCCTCTGCCTCCCAAATGCTGGGATTAAAGCCATGTGCCAACATGCCTGGCCTAAAAGTAGTTTTCAAATACAAGAAGGAAAAGTACACAGTGTTAACGTAACTGAGTACAGTGCACTGGGAAGAGAGTTTACTTTTTTTTTTCATTTCTCCATATTTACTAATGTTTTAAGGAAAGCGAGCATATTGCTTCTATAATGGTTTAAAATTTTTAATTAAGTAACTTCCAAGAGGTAGAAAATAGGAATTGGAGTGAAGCTAAGTGACAGGGTACTTGCCTAACATGTGAAGCCCTGTGTTCAAGCCCCCATATCACAATCAATAAACACATAAATAGAAATGATATAGAAATATGATACAGAAATACAATATATAATACATATATTATTAGTATATATGATAATATATAAAATAAAGAGCATCATTTAAAAAGCAGTGATAGATCCATGCACCAGCAATGTTTGCCTATGCTAGAATGGCTCACACCCTGAGTCACGAGCAAAAGAAAGAGTCAGTAGTCAACACGGGAGTCAAAGCCACTTTGAAAGGCTCTAACTACATCAAAGTTCAAGGGTTACAGCAAAATATCTCTAATGGTGCAGTGGTGGCACTTTTATCTTGGGGTAATCAACAGCTGTTTAATTCAACTTAAGGCCTACTCAATGGAAAGGAACTCATGCATGTATTGTAAACACAGCCATGTACACATGGCTGGAGAGGTCCTAGACCCTAGGAAAAAACATACTCTGTCACTTCCCTAGACCAATGTAATTTCTTACTATACTCTAAATACATATCCTTATAGATACAGACAAGTGTACCTCTCACCACTCACCAAAGAAGCATTTTTTTTTTACAACAGATGGAGATTAGTTCAAAGTTCCACAACTGATCAAACACAGATTAAGCATCTGTGAGGTACCCAGCCTTAAGTGATAAATCTACAATGCAACCTCCACACCTAAGGCTCACAGAAGGGAATATAGTGGAAGAGGGGGCAGAAAGACTGTAAGAGTCAGAGGAGACATCTGCTGCTAGACAATGCACTCTAGACATGACAGGGAAGCAGCACCAGTGAAATCTCCACAGTACGGTGGTCTAACGAGATCTGCATAGTGACAAAACCAGGTGACATGCCAAGGTGGATGGGGAAAATGTCATAGGGTCCCACTTCAAGGTGAAGGACTACAGACAATCAAAGGATGCTGTGGGAGGAAGAATCAGTTTTCTCCAGGGACTATCTCTGTGAAAGGTTATCTAATTCCAAGTGGGCAGCCCTAATCACAAGTACACAGGAGCACCACTAAATGGATTTAGTGCATGCATTTTGTATATATCTCTATATATGTTTATATATCTATATATAGAGATAAGTATATGTGTGTCTATATATTTTTTAGATCTATATATGTCTATAGACATATATGTAACAGTAATAAAGAGGACAAGAAATTGAGAAGGAGTAGAGCGAGAAGACATGGGTGGAGGTGGAGGGGGACTGACAGGGTGGAAATAATACAAAGACAATACTCATGTGTGAAATTCTCAAAAAAAAAAACTTTTTAAATTTCAAGGGCTAAATGTGTCAACAATATCCATTTCATTTATACACAATTTACCCAAGAAAATATATATGTGATGTATAGATATATGAAAAATCTTCTAAGCTACCAAAAATCAAAAAGAACAAATTAAAATAAGCTCTCAGTTTCAAGTAAGATTGTTTTAATGGGACTCTCTGGTGCTAGTCAGCTTGTTTTGAAATGGCACTCTTGGGCTGGACAAAGGGCTCAGCAGTTGAGAGCACGGGCTGCTCTTGGAGAGGACCTGGGTTCAATTCCCAGCACCCACCATAACAACCATCCATAACTCCAGTTCCAAGGGATCCAACACTTTCTTCTGACCTCCAAGGGCATTGCACAACATGGTTGCACTTACATACATGCAAGCAATACACTCATACACATAAAATAAACAAAAATAATAAATTTTTAAATTAAAAATAAAAATCCACACAGAACATCTAGAAAAATGGCGACATGGTTTGGGTAATATTAAGATTTCTCACTTTTAATTTTTTCAAGTTTTTTGAAAAATCAATCTTTAAAGCATATGTATTACTTCAAATCAAAAGAAAATTAAACTTTCTAATAAATCTGTCCTAATTAAACTGAAGCTCAAGATTAAGAAAACAATGACAACTGAGTTGTCAAAGTCACAACTCAGACTGGATAATGGCCCCGAACCCCTGACTCTCCAGGAAACCCTCTGCCCCATCATCAGTTACCTCTCGGCTGTTCAGATGGTCAGCCCATGTGTTCAGGAAGTGGGTGATAGCCACAGTTACCCTGGGAGCCAAGGAGTCTGCTGGTGCCCAAACCTGGCCCTGCTCCCCTTACTGAAGCTTGGGACACAGCAGCATCAACTGAGAATGGCCACCATTTTCAGCAAGCTCTGAAAGCTTCTGGTTCTGTTTACATTAAAATTAGATCAAAAGCAGGAAGCCCAGGTCATAAGGCCAAAATGGTTTTAAATCTTTAGGGCAATACTTAGAAAAACTCAATAAGCAAAAGATCCACAATGAATGGAAAATGCTCATCTTCAGCAGTATTTACACCAACCTTTTATTAAGCATGGTTTATGTAGAGGAACAAAACCGGGCACTTTTGTAACTAGTACTTCTCATTAGCTGTAACATATGAACGGTTATACCCTTAAGTAAATGAGGCTCAGAAATGCTAAGCAATTAGTCTCTCATCAGATGACCCGGGATTAAATCTGGGCTTCAAATGATCTCCAGCCTGTATTCTTCCCAGGCACTGCACCACCTCGCCCTCACGAGTGAAAGCTCCAATTAACACCAATAAACTGGTGAGAATGAGAAGGCGTGCGTGTATGAACCTGCAGCAGTGGTGTCAGCAAGTAAAAGACCCGTGCAAACTCCAGCAGACAAAACCCCGGAGAGAACTGGGAAGACAGGCAACAGGCCCCAACCTTAGCCAAAGAACTACTGGCAGATGGTTAGAGTGAGGGAGAGTTGACCTTCTTTAAGAGAGAGACTCTAGATAGGCTAACTAGACCCTAGGGGATGAGCTTGCATTGAGGGACATCTGGGTACACTAACTTGGCTCCATAGGCCATAACATAAATGACAGAATGCATGAAATCTGGTGAGTAGGGCTATGGGAGGGTGTGGATG